CTTTACCTGGCTTTGAATCTATAGGATATTCAGGTAAGGCCCAGATACTTGAACAGGAAGAGACTGTCACGTGGGCTCAGGAAGCCTTCTTAAATGAAGGGTACTTTAATAATAAGTGCAATAATGTTGTCTGTAGCCAACACAGATTCACTGGTTAAGATGTGCCAAGAAACTATGTGAAGTGTTTTACAACCACTATTACATTTAATCATCATGATAACCCTATAAGATGGGGATTACTATCCCATTTTACATATGCGGGTAATTAAGACCTAAAGAGAGGTTAAGAGATTGGCCAAAAGCCATGTGGTCATAGGGCCAGTAAGAAGTGGAGTTAGAACTGGGTTAGTGATAACCCAGTTTAACCCAAATCAGCCTAACAGTAAAGTCCACAAGAGGGGGAGTTCCCCGGTGGCCTAGTGGTTAGGACTCAGCGCTTTCACTACAGAGGCCTGGGTTCGATCCCTGGTCGGGGAACCATCCTGCATGCTGCGTGGCATGGCCAAAATACAAAAAAATTAAAAAAAAAAAAAAAAAAGTCACACGAGGATACTTTCTACCCTAAGAGCTGTGTTTTCCATATGCCAGACACAGTCCTAAGTGACTTATACAATAGTTACACAATACTTATACAATAATCTCTTGACTGTCACAATAATCCCTCTCAGGACTTGATTCCATCCTTTTCCTTTGCTCCCCAGCGCAGATACTCATACTAGCTTCACGTTTGTCCCTTTGAGCTTCTCTTGTTAAACTGTGTAATTCAACACCTTTGAGCAAATTAATCCTAGACTCCTAGGACCTTGGGCATGTTGCTTAACTTCTTTGACCCTCAGGGTTTCCTCTGTCCTTTGAGTTGGTTGTTTCCTTTAGCTCTAATTTTCTGGAATTCCAGGACAAATGCAGAGCCTGTCTGGAAATGGGTGTGGGATGTGCACATGGGGGAGAAATGACCTTGCCATCAAGGTGCAGGAGCTCTGTGGTGAGGGCAATGAGAGGCCCTGGCTCCTGGGACCAGTGACAGGGAGGGTGGCAGGGTCCTTCAGCCAAAGGCTGTAACCTGACCCCAGGTAATGCGGTGAGTCAGAACCTCTAGGGCGCAAGAAGAAGCCTGTGGTATGCATGACCCCAGGGGCAGAGCTGGGCCTACAAGATTGTGAGATGGAAATCACCAAGGGGTCTGGAATGGAGAGAGCTTCGCATGCCTTCAGGCAGCTGTTCAGCAGTCAGATCATTGGAAGCAGTGTAGAGGGGATTTGACTTTTAGAGAGATTTTCCAGAATGCAAATTTGATCACGTCCCTCTCTGCCTGACAGCATCCACTGGATCGCTACGGCCTACAGATCTAGTCCAAGGAGGTTCCTCAGCAAGGAGCATGAGGCTGTCCCAACCCGACGCTGACTTGGCCACACGCACGTCTCACCCGCTCCGCGAGGGCAGCCATCTCTAACTTCTTGCTGTTTTCTGAGCTTGTTCAATACTGTGACACTTCTGTGCCTCCCCACACCCCCCGTGAACCCTTTTTCCCATCTCTAGACAGTTCATCACTAGCACATCTGACCTCATCAGCATTATATGGCCCCCTCGAGGGCAGGGCCTCAACACAGCCCCCTTCACACGGTGGCAAACGCCACCGGGCGACCGAACGGCGCATTTTTTTTTTTTTTTTTTTTTTTTTTTTT